AAAATCTTCAATACTTGTCTGAGGCTTGGTTCATTTCCTCGTTGCTGGAAAACAGCGAATGTCGTTTTAATCCCTAAGAATAGTGGTCCTCGTATCACGCATTTAGATAACTTGAGATGCATTAGTCTTCTTCCCAGTTTAGGAAAATGCCTAGAAAAGCTGTAAAAAGCTGCTAAATAAAGCACAGTTTGGTTTTACCCCTCATAAGAGTTGTGAAGAGGCTCTTTTGTACTTAAAAGACATAGTGGACGAAGGTAAGAAGAGAAATTTACACACAGTTTTAGTGTTTCTTGATATCAAAGGTGCTTTCGATCACGCTTGGTGTCCTGGGTTACTTGTTTTTTTAAGGAAAGCTGGTATTCCGTGTAATATTACCACCTTATTAAAGATTTTCTGCATGACAGATCTGCATTGCTCTCCCTTGGCCACGTTTTCTTCCTCCCGCATTTTGGAAAGAGGTTGCCCTCAAGGCTCGGTTTCCGGACCTTTATTGTGGAATTTAATTATGAATGATCTACTCAATAGACTCTCACATTGTCCGAGTTGTAAAACAATTGCTTTTGCTGATGATCTACTAATTTGCTTTCAAGAGAAGTGTCCCATTACTCTCTTTAATACGGCTCAAAACACCCTTACTATTATTTCCAATTGGTCCAGAGAACAGAAATTGGAATTCAATCCTAATAAATCTAAAATTATGATAATTAAAAGAAAGCATGTCAGCTATACAAACCAACAACTTTACTTGGATAAAACCTTACTCGAAACGGTGAATGAAATTAAATATTTAGGCGTTATTCTTGATAATAAGTTTTGTTGGAAAAATCATATTATGTATTTATCCAATAAATGTGAAAATATACTTAGAGGACTTAATCGTGTCTCTTGCAATACTTTTGGTTTAAAAGTTAATATTATTGATATGATTTATAAGCAGGGTATTGTCCCCTTTATTTGCTATGCTTCTAGAGTGTGGGGAACAGCTTTAGAAAAGAAGATTAATTCCCGTATACTTCGCAGAATTCAAAGAAGAATTTTACTAAGAGTTGTGCATGGCTACAGAACAATTAGCTATGAAGCCTGTTTCGCAATTTCAGGATTTCCTCCGATTGACCTTCATGTTTTGAATGACAAAAAGTTTAAAGATACCATCAGCAAATTTATGTTCGATGCCAAGGTGTTGTTTGAAGATCTTCCTTATCCTGCCAATTGTTTGCCAATTCAAACTATCATTTATGACAATTCTGTTGATGATAATTTCCCTGTTGTGTGTTATACAGATGGCAGTAAAATTAATAATCGAGTTGGATTAGCTTATGTCGTTTTCCATAATGGTTCTGAACTGGAATACAAACTCTTTAGAATTCCCAATGAATGCAGTGTTTTCCAAGCCGAATTACTGTGCATTAGTGAGTGAATTAAGTGGATATCTAACAACTGTTCGCTAAGTGCTGAATTTCTTATTCGCACTGATTCTCTTTCATCCTTATTTTCTCTTAGGAATATCTTCTCATATAATAAATTAATTGTGACTTCCCATGCTCTTCTTAAAGACCTTAATAATAAAGGTGTTGATGTTATCTTTTCTCATGTACGTGGCCACACTGGCAATCTAGGAAATGAACGGGCTGATTGGTTGGCAAAACAAGCTACACATCTTCAAGTAATTACTCCAATGATACTTCCTAAGTCATTTTACAAGAACAAAGTAGGGATGATACAATACTCGAGTGGAATGAACTATACAGGAATTCTACTACTGCCTCTTTGACTAAACTATATTTTCCTTCCATTCCTCACAGACTGAATAATAAACACTTTTTCTGCAATTTTGAAGTTACTCAATTTCTAACTGGACATGGTAAATTCAATTCATATCTGAAGAGATTTAGATTATTTAGTACAGACTTGTGTTCATGCAGTTTCGGGGGAGTGCAAAATGTCGAACATTTGTTGTTCTATTGTTCAAAGCTCAAGGAAGGACGAAAGGAACTCATTTCTAAGTTAAACTCTGTGAATATTTCATTTCCTCCCCCTCTTCATGTTTTTATTCAACATAAAATGGCTTTCTCTTTTTTCTGTAAATTTATCTCTTACGTATCATCTGTGAATTTGTAAGTTTATTTTATTTTGTGTTGTGTTGTTGTATTTGTTTTTTTTTTTTACTTACCTCTGTAAGCCTTGTGTAATACTATGTGGTGCACAAGGATTTAAAATTTTCAATAAAAAAAATAAAATAAAAAAAAAACTATACATGCGAGCTCTTCGCCATCAAAAGTGCTCTGGAGATTTATCTCTCTAAAGAAGACCAGAGTTCCAAGGGCATCATCATCTTCTCTGACTGCATATCAGCATTAAAAGCGATCCAGAAGGGCAAATGTCAACTCAGTCATCAGATCATTGAGCTCACAAACAAAATCATTGCTGCCCAAAGATCCTGCATCTTACAATGGATACCGGCTCATGTAAATATTTTTGGTAATGAGAAGGCCGATGAGCTTGCAAAGGCATCCCGTGATTCTCCTCAGCCATCTAACTGCCTAACCGTCGTTGATGCCAATGCAGTTGCCAACCAAAGACTAATCGGTCAAGTTAAAGGAAACTCCATCCCGGAATTGAACTGTGACAGAGCCATATCGACTATCATAACTAGACTTAGGACAGTTCACTTAAAAGGGATGAGGATTTCTGCAGACGGACAGCGTAGTTACACCAACATTTGTCCTCATTGCCCAGATGACATCCCACTGTCTCGCCATCACATCTTCAGCTGCCCAGCAATCCAGGCCAGACTGTTTAACATCGGCATTGAAGACCCTGTGGACCTACTTTATACTGATAGAGCTGCGGAGGTTGCAAAATCTGTCTTTGACAGTTTCGGAGCTATATAATTGCACTTTGTCTTACACACGACATCATCATCATCATCATTATCACATGCATTCAACATTTAATAAATAAATATCTTCTTTTGCTTTCGAGAAAATTCCAGAAATTTCTCGCGCGCGATTTAATATCTTATGAAAAGGAGGAAAACCTCTCAATTCAGTAGTTAGTTAGATTTGCTGTTGTTTTAAGAGTTTGCTTAGAAAACTGCTCTTGTTTTCTAAGCAAACGATGTAGCGAATTCGTGGATTAGCTTTCTTTAGCTGTTTTGAATTAAGTTCTGTTGAACGTTTCTGTAGTTAAAATATAACTATTGTGAGATATTGTAATATTGCACGAATATCTGAGGAAATTTTAGCATATTTGTTGTAATAATAATAAATTTTGTTCATTTTTCATCGGGCTTGTGCATTCGATTCAAACGAACCCGTACGCACGCAACAATATAAAAAAATTACAATGAAATAAGCAGTATCCCTTAAAGCAAATAATTATTATCATAATTAATAAATTTTCCATCTTCTCGTTGCAAATTCTTAAGAATTAAAATGGTATAAAGGAAGTTAAGAACTTTGTTTTCTAAATAAAAATCATGCAAAACATTTTATATAATTAAAGTTACATATATTTAAAACATAATACCACAAAATTACGATGAAATAAGCAATAAATCTCATATTTTCAACAGAAAACTCTCAGCACTCCAGTATACAAAGCATTGAATGAGAAACGGTTGCCAAAACCACCTTTCTAAAAGAATGGAACTATTCAAAATGATGCGATTTCATCAAAAAACATAATATTAAAAAAAACTCATTCGAATTTTGAAAAACTCGCTTCGATTTGCACTGGCTCTTGTCTAGATGCACCTGTGTACCAAATTTCGTAGCCCTGGGTCTATTAGCTTACGCGCAGCACGAACGAGAGGCACAGAGACAGATAGACTCTTCCTTTTATATATATAGATTGTTATTAAAATTTATTAATATTTGAATGGATTCAAATATTATTCGTGGCAAACCCATGAAGTGACACCAAAATAAATCAAAGCTTATTTTTGAATTTGGTGTTTACATATTTTCCCATTGACCATGTTAGTTGGCGGGGCTCCTGTTATAATTAAGTCAATCATTCCCAGGGAGAGCTCTTTATTTAGGTTATTAAACGAAGGAAAGGAAGTATTGTAATCACGAAAAATTTTGGGTATCATGTTTCAACCAAAATATCCATTTTGACCGCTATCGAATCGTTAAAAAGGATGTTTTTGCATGACATCCATACCTACGGACAGAATAAAAGCTCCAGAAAACTGATTGTAAAGTGGATTTAAAAAGGCTTCAGAAGAGAATTTTGTCTTGACGTCTGAACGTGCGTACTTATGTAGGGATCTTGCAACTCAAAAACGAGTAGCGGTAGAAAGCTGAAATTTTGTAAATGAAACTGCTATAACATCTAGTTGTGCACCTCCCTTTTTCGTTGCAACCGACCACACCAAATGGTATATGCTATATTCACACTCTTTCTTCTGTAAGCGAGTCACTGACATTCACTCACAAACCTTGTTCCCGACATCAATTGTTGTGTTCTACGAGTTCGTGGATTTGGAGTAATTGATAACATTTTATGAAGAACCAAAACAGAATTTATTCATCTACACAGGACAGTTCCAAAGGCACGTTTACAGTCTTCGAAAAACTGAGATGAACACTTATATTTCATCCAGACGAAGATTCCTTGAAGTGGTTGTTGGTGCGAGAGGACGAGGTAAGAGAACCGCGGATTCTGTCTCTAGGTGTATTTTTGATCAAAATAGGGATGCAGGTTGTATTGCATGCAGTTAGGTGCCTTAGAACTGGCTAAAGAAGGGCGCTTTCTCGTCGCCACCTGTGAGAATTCATAAGGTGTCCTGGTAACTGCCCGTCTAGACTAAAATTAGTAACATTTTAGTCTTGTTTTCCCTACTGTTTAGAATATTCAGAAAATTTAAATTATATGCAATAGTCTGTTAATATCGGTTTGCTGCTTTGTACTTACAGATGAATTTAAATTTACTCAAACATTCTTTTTGCAAATATACTGTTTTCCTAATCTAATTTACTTAGAAAATAATATACGAACTCACCTGTTCAAAAAGCTCATAGGAAGGCTCATCCGGCTGCGGTGGATTCGTAATGGAATACATAACTATCTAGAAAACAGAAGCATCATATCAATATAATATATTTGGTCTTAAAAGAAAGTGAAATTTCTTTAATTAAATAGAACACATTAAAATACTTCAATGGTTACGTAAATTATTTTAAGTACTTTTCTGTATATTTATAACAGTAAATAAGATTAGATTTTATGCATATTATGCGCACAGTTTTATGCATATTATGCGCATCAGAAGTATTTCGCATGATGGCTAGTCAAAGCAAAATATTGTCACTGTGCATTCATATATTCAAATTGAAGAAAGATGTGCGTTACCAGTTAGGCTTAGTGTTAAGAGTTTTTTATTTAGCTCACTCAGCCGCCCAGACGGTATAGTGGTTAGGGAAGCCTGAATGCGATACCGAGTGGCCCGGGTTGCGTAATGGCAAACCGCACATTGAGTTGATCAATGTTAACGAATTTCATTTACTGCGCATGCTCAGTGGTGTACGTTGACGTGGCAGAAAATACTGGCGACTAAGCATAAGCAACCCTTACACAAGCCTGTCCATAGTGTAGGTCTTATCGACTATTTACAATTACAATGCTACCGAAATTTATTTGTGCTTAATGCATTTGCTTCTGTTTCAATTCATTTTGGTTTATTTTGTTTATAAACGTTATATTTAATATCAGTTATTTATAATAATTTCCTTGACTTTAATTCAGTAATTTAAACTGGATTCATTCTTTAATTTGTTAAAGTGTATACGAATGGAACATATAGTTATTTACCATACGCAATTGCTTTTATTCCTCACAAGTATATTCAATAAAGATTTAGCTAATATATACTGTAATGTTTCCTGTTTTGTAATCATTCTTGAGTGGTTTACAATCGATAGTTACCCTCTAAGTAATAAATAATTGTACAACCTAACAAGTTTTAAAACTCCGAACTGTTTACGCCCAGATAACAGAATATCAACCACACACAGTATTTATCTTCTTTTAAAATTGTACCAGAGTCGTAATTAAACCAAATTCTCTTCTGGGCATGCGCAATATGCGAAATTCTTTTAACGTTGATCAACTGAGAGTGCAGTTTGCCATTATGGGCCCGGGTTCGAATACTGGAAAAGAAGTTTCCCTTCTTAACAATACATATTCTTTGGCTGAAGTATGTTGCGAAAGTATGGCACATTAAAATTTGAAGATTTCACATACTGGACTGGTGCAATGCGAAGTTCATAATTCTAAGTAGTTGAGCACCTTAGCTGCTCAACCAATAATGAGATTCACATCACAAGTTGGTTATACCTGAAACTGGTGTCACCAATCCAGAGTAAGAATTCTGAAACAGCAAGTGCTCATGCTAGCAATGTGCTACGAAATCTGCTTTGATTTCAATTACTGGAACAGCATATTAGTAAATCTATAGCAATGTGCAGAATATTTATCATAGTCAAATAATTCAATATGCATACTTGATATAAATAGGTTCAAAAACTCAAACTGCAGGCATTCAATTTGGAATTTTATGTCTCCAATAAACATCTCGATAAGGGTGGATATAAAATTGTCTGTCCCTTCGTAGGAGGTAACCGTGGCCACCTATTAAGTGCTTCCACAATAAAATGGTCACCGTATCTGGCTTTAGGAGTGCCCAATGCCATTAGAGTCAAGTGTCCGCCATTGGGGGGGGGAATTAAATCACTCATGGTGCTTGTCGCTATGGTCAAAAGTTTCTCAGCAATTTTTAACTTACTTCCTGATAGCTAGTTCAAGTTTTATGAGCGGACTGTTAGCGAGTGACAGTGCAAGATGGCGAAGAGAATTTTTCACATTCGATTTCGATTGTTTTTTATTTGATGTTTAAATAATTTTTCTCACAAATCTTCTCTTAGCGAGCAAACTAAATCTCAGAAATTTACTAATTGCACTATCGATAAAATGGGAAAATGCTTTCAATGAAACTTATAGCAATGTCTTAATACAGTTTAATGTCTTGATACAATGTCTTAATTAACTGCTCGATTTTCTCGACTGCTTGAAGTTTATGATTTTAAAATTTTGAGATAAAAAATATCAAGCGCAAAATTTTTAACTTTTCACAGATTACAAACAAACTCCCCTCCCCTTTTAAAATAAGAAAAATAATAATAAAAACATATATCAATTGGGTGATTTTCTGCATTTTTTAACGTGCTGTAATGCGATTAAAAATGCTGTTCTAAAATGCAAAGAAAATTATACGCAATAGAAGCTTAATAACTTCTTTTGAGGGATTAAAAACGACGTAAAAGTCAAAATAACCTTCATTTCAGTTTCATGAAGGTAATTATATTCAGTTACGTTAAAGAAAAATTTATTGGAATAGCTTTTTATACCTCAAGCATACTATTTACCTTCTATGAATGAGTACAACCACAAAGAAAAATCTTCCATACCTGGCCATGCATGCTCGGGCTTAACCTTACGCAATGTAATTTCTCCAATATTTCTTTTACGTCATTATCAAGATTCACAATTTCGCAGTATCCACCTCTTGACCCACATCTAAAAAAAGGAAAATTTAATTAAGATAGACAAGTCAGAATAGCGATTTTAAGAATCCATGAACATCAATCAAATTCAGGGCCATTTATTTTTAAGTAATGAAGAATAAAAGGATTAAGAGAATTAGTAGACTTAAACAAGGGCTAAGAAATCTAAACAAAGGCTAAGAAATCTATCAAGAGTTAATATAAAACATACTGAAACAAACTTTATTTCCTCAGTTGGAATTTTCTTTTTAATTCTTGAGAAAATAATAAAGATGCTTGGGATATAAATAAAGCGAAATTACAGACCAGCTGAGTTAGAAATGAACCAATGCATTATTTCTAAAACTAAGGTTATTAGCGATCCGAAAAAGAAGGTTACGTTTAGAAGTTTCATTATTTTCAGAGAATTTGCAGAAATTTTTCCATCGGCATTGTATACTTCTTATGTGTATCACCGGAATAATCAGGTGTTGTTCCTCCTTTATTTAGCGGCCAAACGAAATCCTAAACCCATAAAGATATACTGCAATTTAAGTGATAACAGATTTTTCATTTTGCCAAGTAATAACTAGTTTACTCCATCGATCTAAGGCTGAAAATTACGATTGCCTGCTTTAAGCGAAATCTTATGAAGCTAGTACACAATGTATTGTATATTGCAGTAAAACTGACTTTCACTGAATACTTCTGAAAATAGTAATCCGTGTAAATCGATTCTAGACTTGATTATTTTTTTTGCATTCGTGCTGTATTTATTGATTAAATACCTAATTTGGTGGACGCTAAGGGGTATGGTGTATGTATCCCCTCAGCTTTTCAGCGCAAGGTTTGTAAGGTTTTAATTTAAATTAACCAAATTTCTTTTTATCTTAAGTTACCCTTTCCTGTGAACTCTTATTTAAACTTCTCTTCAGAATGAGCGCACGGTTCAGCTTTATGCTAATTTGTGTTGAAGCCAAGTTGTGTATTTAAAGGTTAGTGAGAAACGTCTCAAGTGTGCGAGAGCTTTTAGTCTCAGACCACGTCGGCTCGGTGGACGTTCGCCAGATTAGTTAGTATTTTAATTCTTACGCCTTAGCGCTATTACTCTAATACTGATTTAAGAGATTTAAGTTGGTTAGTACTTAGCAAAGGCTTGCTACGCACCATAAATAGGCCAATCTCGCGTTTAAGCTCTGTGACAGCGACTATTTAAATGTCTACTGAGTTTTACTTTAAATTGCTTGATTGTTCAGTTTAGACACAAGCGCGGTCATTATTTTTCTGTTATCGCTCCCGAGCTGGGAGTTACTGTAAAAGGTGATTTAAATAAAAGGGTCTTTTACACCCTTCTTACGTTGTAATTCTTCTAGCACTCACAAGAACATAGCTGCATTCAGCTCACTGTTCGAGTTCAGGACCTTGATACTGTCACCATTATGTTTGCCAAAAGTATGCACAGAACACTACTGGCGCCCGAAGAAAAATATGAGGATGGCCTGAAAGGCAAGGAGATGAGCCTGAGGTACCAGCAGTACCTGTACAGAACCCGGAATTACCACCTCCTGCCCTAGAAGGTTTTGGCTACATTGTGCAAACTATGCGGGCATCCATGAAACCAGCGGCAAGTTTCGACGGCAGGACAACCGTAAGTAATTTCCTGGAAAACCTAGATGCCCATTTCATGTTATATCCAGTACACGAGTTTCAGAAAGTCACTCTTACTACCGGCGCTTTGAAGGGAAGCGCTAAATTGGTTTAAATATATTGGAACGAATCTTTTGGGTGAAACAGGAAGCCCCACGTATACGTATGAAAATTTTAAAAGTTCTTTGGTGAGAGCATTTGCGGTCATATGAGATAGAGCCAGACTAGAGGCGGAACGTTTTAGCCCATATCAAGAAAAAAATCGAAGATTTCTCAAATTTTATTTTAAGAAAGATTCAAGTTTTTAAGCATTTGTATGGAATTCGGCAGGATCCTGAAATCATTCAAGTGATAATCCCTAGACTACTGCCCCAAGTTCAAGATTTCATCGAGCTCAGAAACCCAACGACTTTGGATAAATTATTCGAACTCGCCGTGCAGTGGGAAAGTCGAAGAGCTGCGGACAACGAAAGACGTCGCCAATTTGAGCGAAAAAGTCAGTGGAATACGGGTAGACCGCAGCAGAAGCAACAACAGAACTACGGGAACAAAGCGAAGCAATGGCAAAAGAAATATGGATCCCCCAAGACGACCGGCGAACGGCGAAATTTTCATCATAAAGCAGGGAAAAGCTCCGAAACTGAGCAAATTAAGAAGGATTCGGCTAAGCAAGATTTAAAGTAAGGGGGATTTCTTTAAGGAAGGTGAAGAAATCCGAAGTCCTGAAAAATCCTTCCGCGATTAATTTAAACACCGTAGTCGTTAAAAATTTAACTTTACCGAAGAATTGAAGTTTTAATAAATAATATACCGGCGAACAGCCCTTTTGGATACAGGTGCGCAAAACAACTGCATTTCTGATCAATTTTTTCAAGAAACACTTCCGTCGTTATAGAATATTTAGCGCAAAAGACATTAATGTTATAGCGGCTCCAAGGAGGTAAGTGTAAATGTCTAGGTAAAGTCTCACTTTTTGTGCGTATCAACGAAGAGCAGGTAAAAATTTTATTTTATATCGTGAGAAACCTGCAAACATGTGTTATCCTTGGTGTGGACTTTTTCAAATTGGCAGAAGCCACAATCGACTTTCAGGGAGCCAAGCTAACAGTCACGATGCAACCAGGTAACAAGAAGGACGATGGGTCCCCGGAGCTTGATCTACAGCATTTGCCGGCAGAAGAGAAAGAAAAGCTGCAGGCTTTGGTAAGTGAATTCTCAAATTTTTTCAGTGATGTACCTGGTTTCACTCGGGTCACCAGTCATGAAATCCAGACCTGGGATGCCCAACCAGTAAGGCAGAAGCCATATAGATACGATAAGGTTAAGGAAGAAATAATTGAGATTCATATTAAGGAAATGTTGAAGAATAAAATCATTACTCCTATTTCTAGCAGTTATGCTAGCCCAGCAGTGTTATGAACAACAACGAGTTCCCGATTACGCACCCGAAGCGGTGGCGTTTCGCTGTAGACTATCGAAAGTTAAATTCCGTCACAAAATATCCCGTATATCGTTTACCTATTATCGAAGAGGTAATCCGCAATATTACCTCCACGAAGTACATGTCCACATTAGATCTTACGAGTGAGTATTTTCAGATTGGGGTAAAATCTGAAGATGTCCTCAAGACCGCTTTCATAAATAAATCTGGCACATACGCATTTCTTAGGATGCCTTTCGGTTTATTCGGCGCACCGGCAACTTTCCAGAGATTTATGGACATTGTCTTAAGACCGGTCCTTGGTAAGAGTACGTTCATTTATTTGGACGATATTATAATTACAAGTAATAGTTTGGAACAACGTTTAAAAGGTTTAAAACAAGTATTTTTATTGTTAAACGAAGCCGGTTTAAAAGTAAATGCATCCAAATGTAAAATTGCCGCAAAAGAATTACGTTATTTAGGATTTAAAATCTCTCAGAATGGCATTGAAACCAAGATTATACCAAGATTACCAAGATTATTGTCCAAGATTATAGCTATCCAAAATTATCCTGCTCCTAACACAGCTAAAAAGTTATCATCGTTTCTTGGGTATGTGTTCATACTATAGATCCTTCATAAAAGGTTTTGCTAAAATAGCTGAGCCACTTCTTAAATTGAAGAGGAAGAAAGCTAGGTTTTCGTGGTCAGCTGAAGCCAACTCGACATTTCAAAAATTAAAAGACGCCCTAACGCAAGCCCCCGTTTTAAAATTCCCGAAGGGGAATAAAGGATTAGAAATTTCAGCGGACGCTTCAGATTTTGCGGTTGGGGCATTTCTTTCCCAAAATGGGCAGCCCGTGGCCTTTTTCAGTAGAACTTTAAACGAAACCCAGAGAAATTATTCGGCCACGGAAAGAGAAACGCTAGCAGTTTTATTAGCGGTGCACAAATTCCGCGTTTACTTTGGAAGTTCTCCAGTAACTGTGTATACCGACCACGCTGCGGTCACCAGACTCTATTCTGGAAAAAATTTATGGCCGAGATTAATAAGATGGGCACTTAAGATACAAGAGTATAATCTAATAATTAAACACACTCCGGGAAAGGAGAACGTTGTGGCAGATGCTTTAAATAGAATCAATTTGGATGAAAACGGAGATAAGGTTACAATAGCCACCAAAAGTTTTAGAATCTCGTGAAACAGTAATAGCCGAGCTGGGAAAAGATCCCGAGTTCAAAATATATATAATTATTTAGCCGACCCTGAGAATTTCAGCCATCAAGATATTGTGCCGATAAGAAATAAGGCGGCAAATTATGAAATAATTGATGGACTTCTTTTCTGTACAAAAACTACTAACGAAAATCACGAGTTTAGGCCGGTTATTCCAGCAAGCCTTAGATTTAGAATATTGGAAAAATTGCACGATTCTCCTATTTCCGGCCATTTGGGCCAGCGAAAAATTGTCCAAAGAGTTCGCGAGGCAGTTTTTTTCCCGAACTGCAAAAGTTTACTAGGGCGTATGTCAAGTCATGCCCAACATGTCAATTTAATAATTACATTAATTACCTCCCGGCCGGGTTCTTAAATAGTGTTAAATCAGAATTTCCAAATGAAATAATAGGGATCGATTTACTTGGCCCTTACCCCAGAAGTAAATTTAACAAAAGCCGATATCTTTTAGTTATAGTGGACCATTTTAGCAAGTGGTTGGAACTGATTCCGTTAAAACGTGCTTCTGCTAAAATCGTAGTGGATTCAATTTTAAATAAGTATAGTTTAAAGTACGGGGTGCCGCTAAACGTTATTTCGGATAATGGTCCCCAATTTGTTAGTAATATTTTTGAGGAAATGTGTGTAAGACTGGGCATATGCCATTTAAAAATGGTCCCGTATCGTCCGCAGTCAAACATAGCGGAACGGGTTAACCGAAACGTAGTTAAAATTATTCGAAGCTATA